ATAGATCTGATTGCTATGCATACCATCAGGTGAAATCCATGTGTATAACTTGTGTTTATGTTTCTTATAAAAAGTATTTGCAATGAATAAGTCATTGATTTTACAAAATTCAATCATTCTATCTCCAGCTTCATTTCTGTCACCAAGCCCATATTTTCCAACTACTGATTCTTCTCTGTTCCCAATTTTGTGTTCCAGTCAGCCATTATTATCAATGCATCTTGATTGCATGTTCGATCAATCGCCGACTGTAAACATTGGTAGAAATCATCTATTTCTTCTTCTTTGGCTCTGGTTGTTGGGGCATATATCTAAATGATAGTGGTATTCACTGGACTTCCTTGTAAGCGTATGGATATAATCCTATCACTCACAATGTTGTACTTCAAGATGGATCCAGAAATTACTTTTTTAACTATCAAAGCAACCCCATTTTTCCTCACCTTTTCATCTCCGGAGTAATATATCATATGATCATCTGACTCAAAAACCCCCAGGCCAGTCCATCTCATCTCTCCAATGCCTAGTATGTCAATATTTATGCATTCCATTTCCTTCTTAACAATTTCAAATTTTCCTACATTCACTGTTCTCACATTCCATGTTCTAATCACTAATGTCTGCTTACAGCTATTCCTCTTCTTTTGTATTTCCATACTTGAAAGTTCTACCTAGGTTGCCCTTTCTGTTAGTCTATGTGTGTTCTGTTGTATAGTATTTCATAAATTGGTTGCCTTTTAGTGCTGCATAATATTCCATTGTGTGAATGTACCATCATTTCTCTATCCATTTGTTTATGGGCACATGGGCTGTTCCCATTTCCATCTTCTTGCTGTTGCGAACAATCTACAATGAAAATAGGTGTACATATTTCTGTTTGTGCCTCAGCCCTGATTTCCTTGGAGTATAGTGGAATTACTGGCTCTTTAATCAACAACCTACCTTGCTTTAATCAACAACCTATGACCTTGCTTGCTGAAACAGAGGACTTGAAGCTATTGCTGAAGAAGGTCAAATACTGCAGTCTTCAATATGGATTGAAGCTCAACATCAAGAAGACAAAGATTCTCACCATTTGTGCCAACTGACAACATCATGATAGATGGAAAAGAGATGGAGATTGTTACCGATTCCATTTTACTTGGGTTCACAATCTTGGCACTAGCAATCAGGAAATCAAAAGACAAGTTGTATTGGGAAAGTCTGCTGTCAGGGACCTCTCCAAAGTGCTGAAGAGCAATGATGTCAATCTGGAGATTAAGGTGTGTCTGATCAAAGCAATGGTCTTTGCAGTTACTTGCTATGCTTCAGAGAGCTGGACAATGACTAACCATGACAGAAGAGGAGTTGATGCCTTTGAGTTGTGGTGTTGGAGAAGAGTGTTGAATATACCATAAACTGCCAAGAGAACAAGCAATTCTGACCAAGAGAGGGTGAAACCAGGTTGCTCCTTGGAGGCTAGGATTTTGAAACTCCATCTCACATACTTTGAGCTTGTGGCCAGGAGGGACCAGACCTTGGAGAAGGACATCATGCTTGGAAGGGTGGAGGGATATAGCACAAGAGAAGAAGATATGGATGAGATGGATTTATACACTGACTGCAGTAATGGGGTCAAGTGTGTCAGAAACAGTGAGATTGGCTCAGGATAGAGCAGAGTTCAGAGATACTGTTCATGTGGTCACTATGAATAACATTAGACTCAACAGCACATAACAACATGGGGTTTCTACATTCACCTTTTAAAGAACATGTTATACTGCCTTCCATAGTGGTTGTACCATTTAAAAATCCCACCAACAGTGCATGAGAGTTCCAATCTTTCTACATCCTCGCCAACATTTATTGTTTGCTGTCCTATCGCTGCTGGGGTGATGTGGTATCTCATTTTTGTTTAGATTTACATATCTGTGATTGTTAGTGATTCAAACCATGCCCTCATGTGTCTGTTAGCTATCCAAATACTCTCCGCGATGATGAATCTTTTCACATCTTTTGTCTGTTTTGGATGACCAGTCTTTTCCTTGTGTAATATTTTGCACATTTTAGTTATGAGTCCCTTGTCTGAAACATCACTGCCAGATATTATTTTCCCAGTCTGTGGGATTTTTCAACTTATTGGACAAAATTTTTGATGTACAGAGCGATTTGATTTACAGAAGATCCCAGTCATAGATGTTATCCTTTCCTGCTTCTGTATTTTTTTGCTGTGTTTGCAAGCCTATTCATATCAGAGACTAGTTTTTTTTCCCCTATTTTTCTCTAATGATTTTATGTTTTACCCCCTAGTGTCTGATCCCCATTGAGTTGGCTTTTGTATATGGAGTGAGATGTAGGCCGTGTTTCCGTTTTCCACAGGTATATTTACAGTTTTGCCAGCAACATTTGTAAAAGAGGCTGTTGTTTTATCATTTAATGTTTTTTGTTTCCTTGTGAAATATTGATTGGCAGTAGATAAATGGATTGGTTTCTGCGTTCTCAATTCTATTCCATTTGTCTATGTGCCTGTCATTGAACCAATACCATGTTGTTATCATTACTATGGCTATGTTGTGAGATTAGGAAGTGTGATGCCTTTTACTTTGTTTTTATTTTTCACTTAAGAACTTCACTTATTCAGAAAAGAGAATTATACTTTATCCAGCAGGGAAAACAAGCACATCCATGTCATTGCACTCCCTGTGAACAGCATCAGAGTGTTACAAGGAATTGGCCTTCACTCAAGAGGTGAGCTTACTGGTCTGTGGGCAATTCTATTCTGCTTGCCAAGTATTGATTAAAGAATAGGCATGTTAACATGACACAACTAACAAGTGTGCAAATGAAAACGCGCTAGCCCCATTTACACATTGACATACTGGGCATTGGTGAAATACAATGGATTGGTGTGGGACATTTTTTGTCAGATAATCATGTGCTCTGCAAAAAAAAAAAAAAAAAGAATAGGCATGTGACCCAATTCTGACCGAAGAGATTTCAGGATAGATTTGCCAATGGCATTTGGAAAATGAGAAGGTGATGTGCCAGATGCTCACCATCCTGTAATGAGATTGAAGACAAAAGGCAACCCACCAAAAACAGCATTATGTAAACACTGAGGTGGAGCCCTGATCGAGTCTAAAATCTGATCTCTGTTCTTCCACTCTATGTGGATCAATCACACTGCTTACTGTTTAACGTAAATAGCGTCTGCTTTCTGTACTTGTATCTGAGAACCTCGCCTGAACGGATAGAATTCATACAGTAACCTGTTGGTTCAGAGTTGTTCTCGTACCTCCTAAGTTGTTAGAACTTTGAATAGGGTCAATGAAATAGTGAAGCAGGGTCTATGGATACTTTTTCTGCACTAGGGTTTATGGATACTTTCTCTGCAGAAGATGGCCTTCATTCGACTTCTGCTCCTCTCCCTGGATTTTGGAGGGTCTGGAGAAAGCAATACAACACTGGGTACCATCTTGCCAACAGGAACAATCAGTATGGATGATAAACAGTACGTTCTACATTTGTTCGTTTTATTTATTTATTGTTCATTTATTTAAATGTGTTTGCACACATTTAGCTTCAGAGCTGTTATTGAAAGTATGAGTTTATCAATGGAGAAAGTATTTTTTGTTTCCTTTTTTTGGGCAAATGGATCTGAGGGTGTATATACTTCTATGACTGAGAAGTGAGTGAGCTATTGGAGCTTGGGGGCCCGGGGGGTGTCAATAGTCCCATCTCTTCTTTATTCAGTTCTGAGGATAATTCAGAATAATCTAGTTGATTTTTACTCTTCTCTTTCTTCTATCTTTAAATCTCTTTCCCACACTCTCTTTCTCTTTAGCAACACTGGAATAAAGCCAAGGGAATTTCAGGGGAAGTCATTCTATAACTGGTAAAAGAATGACCATGTTACTACTGCACAGTCCAGATTTGTGACCTTCTGGTTACTAACAAAACAGTTTCCTAGGCGACTTAAGGGCCAGCTTCCTAGTAAAAGTAAACAGTACTGTGAAACCTCTTATAATGTTTTTGAGAAGCTTGAGAAATCTGTCTTAAGCCAACTCAGGTTCTCCAGCTTTTTTGCTCTTACTCTGGGGTTTTGGTTCCCCACTACATTTGAGCCTAAATAACACCATGCAGAAACATTATTCAAATATGCTTACATCCAAAAGAAATTCCACCAAGACATCAGCAGCAAATTCACCATCAAATTCAATTTTGCGATCACCTTTAAGAATATAGAGGCTTCCTTCTTCGTCAAAACCTGGAAGATACAAAGAGATCCCAAGGAAAGGTTATTCTAATGTAGAAGGAGAAATGTATGGTATGAGGTCTGGCTCTGGGCCTTCTTGACAGGGCAGTCAGGATCAACAGAACAAGTGTAAATCCAATGACTACTTCCCTGGGAAAACACCATCACTGCTTTCAGATAAGAGATTGAATTTTAAATAGTTACGAACCAACCTGTATATGAACTTTGTAAGTAAATTGTATAAAATAAAAATTTTATAAAGAAAAAAAGAACCAGTCTGAATTTAAACTTAAAAGGAAAAGTTCTTCATACTGCCACTACACTAATTTCCCAAAACACAGTGCCATGGATTTAATTCTCAATCACTTGCTATACATCATAGAGCTGTACAATAACTAAGGATAACAGAGGAAGAGTTGATGCATTGGTGTTGGAGTGCTAGCGAACAGTATTGGACCACCAGGAGAACAAATAAGATCTGTCTTATAGAGAGTGAAACCCAGTATCTCCTTGGAGGCTAGGATTTTGAAGCTCCATCTCACATACTTTGGGTACATGGCCAAGAGGGACCAGTCCTTGGAGAAGGACATCACGCTTGGAAGGGTGGAGGGACAGAACAGGAGAGGAAGACTCCAGATGAGATGAATTGACATGGTAAGTGGGGCAGTAGGATTAAGTGTGTCTGAAGTAAGACTGGTTCAGGATAGGGCTGTGTTCCAAGCTATTGTATATAGTATCCCTATGCGTCACTGGGAACCCCATACACATAACAACAATAACCCTTCCCAAAAAATAACCCTTCCCCTAAAATACATGTCAGCCTGGCTAGTATGTGCTTATCCTATTATAAATCTTCACTTCTGTGATGTTAATGAAACAAAATTAGAAGCAGTTATGTAGTGATATAATCAAGGCCCCTGATGTGATCAGTCAATTCATTTTAAGGGGATTAGGACTGCACCTACAATAACAACAATAACAACAGGGCAGGATGCTACATCCTTAATTAGTCTACGGCCCTCCTTCTATATAGAAAGCATTTCCTTGGGGTGGGGTCTGCATCATCTTTCATGTTACAAAACATGAGAGAGAGGAATCTCAATACCACCAAGAAAGAGAAGTTGGGAGTAGAGCATGTTTTTTGGGCTCAGGTTCCTATGCTATTGTTGTGTTAGGTGTTGTCAAGTATAACTCATAGAGACTCTATGAAGAAAAGATCTGAACCCTGTTTGATCCTGTGCCGTCCTCACACTTCCTGACACACATAGGGTGTGTCAAATGCCATAAGGGTCACAAAGTGGCCAGGTTTTGGTGGTGCTCCCTGATTAAGACAGACTAGGGAACAGGATTGGCTACCCACTTCTTAAATAACAGGGCTTTGAAAATCCTATGAACAGTAGAGGAGTGAGGATAGTTATAGTAGTGTAGTGGGAGAGCCCAGTTGAAATGGTGTAGTGGTAGAGTCAGTTGAAATGAGGAAAAACACTAATAAACATCTAATAATTGGAACATGGATGTACGTAGCTTGAAGGTTGGAAAACTGGAAATTTTAAAAAATGAAATGGAACACACGAACATAGACATATTAGGCATGAGTGAAATGAGATGGACCAGCTTTCACAACTTTGAATCAGATAATTATGTGGTATACTATATAGGGAATTTGGAAACAGGAGTGGTATCCACTTCCTAAACAACATGCCTCCAGAAACTCTATGAACTTTGATAAATGTCAATAGTTGTAGAGGGGCTAGGAGTCATGCTCGACTCAAAGACAATCAACAACAACATGCAGGGAACGAAAAACAGAAGAAGAATGACGTTGCATTCATAGTAAAAAAAGAAAAAGTCAACTTCAAGTTGACAAATACAATGTTGTGAGTGATAGGATGACAGCCGTACACATACGAGGAAGACCAGTTAACACGACTATTCCTGTGTTGAGAAACTCTTAAAATCAGAAAAGAAAAAACCAAAATAAAACAGAGAAAACAAGCTTTCTCTTGGATGCAGCACACTGAATTTGGACTTTCCACTCCTAAACTGTGAGAGAACGAATTCCTGTTTGTTAAAGTCATCTCCTTGTATCTTTTTTATAGGCAGCACTAGACTAGATAAATATTTTGAAAGTTGAAAAATTTCACCACCCTCCTGACTCCAGAGCCTGACAGTCTAGTCCCTCCACAATGCAGGGCCAGCCTTATCTGCTGAATATTCCCTTTGGCAGGCCTACGCTTCTTTGAGAAATACTTTCTTAATCCTTTGTGCTACTCCCACTGCTTTTGGAGCACGATGATAGGTAAGAGTGAGCAAAGGAAATGTCGTAGAGCATAACTTTCTCATACTTATGTTCACCCCTTCCCACTGCACTCTCCACCACACCCCAGCTTGGTCAGTTCTTTCAGACCTCAGCTAAGACTTATTTTCCCAGTAAGGTCAATTCAATGGTACAAGCTTTGTCTTCCATGTAGGAAACTAAGGTTTGATTCCTGCCCAAAGTACCTCAATCATAGCTGCCATTCTTCTGTCAGTAGAGACTTGATGTGGAACAGATTTCAACAGTTTCCAGACTAACACAGACTAGGAATAAAGGTCTTGTGATATACTTCTAAAACCAAAAAAAAATCCCGTTAATCTGATCTTGTTGTATACAGGACTGCCACGAGTTAGAACGATGTGGTAGCCAATGACAAAACTACAGCAGAAATCTCTGAGAGTAAGACCACAGTCTTCCTGGTATCCTACTTCCTTGCAGACTCTGGGCACAATGTTTTTGTCGTTAGGTGCCACTGAGTCGATTATGATTCATAGATACCCTATAAACAAAAGATCTGAACCCTGTTCTATCGGCGCCATCCTCACAGTTCGTGACACACGAGAGTCTGCTGTAACAGTCACCGTGTCAGTCCACCTGGTTGAGAGTTGTCCTCTCCTTCGCTGACCCTCCACCCTTCCCAGTATCATATTCCTCTCCAAGGAACAGCCTCTCCTAGCAAATGCACACTGACTATCCCATAAATGTTTATGAACAGAATAAATGCCTGTTGCGGCAGAATCTTTCTTGTATGTCTTCTTTTCCAGTTATCCGGTCAACGCTGACCGCAAGGGCATCGTCTCCTTGACTGTTCTCCAGCACTGTTAGTGTAATGCTGTGTACTTTAGCAAATGTTTGCTAGAAAATGGCATTTCCCCCAGGAATGCTAAATAGCTGAGGCTGGCATTTAGTCCAACTGTATGACACTCTAATTCCTTAGATTAATTGTTTTCAGACTCTCTATTCATTGGAGAATGCTCCAAATGAGCTCTTCTGTAGAAACCTTCAGGGCAAGAGAAGTCTGCTGTGCCCAAAGGCAATTCTGGGGATCCTCTGACACAGTGGGTAGCCCTGATTATAAATCAAAAGATGCATCAGGCCAGCTCTCTTTGGAATCAGCAATGGCTTGTCTCCATAGACGCATTAGTCAGTATCCACTGTTGGGTTCTGGTTTGAGGGAAACTACTTAGGATGCAATTGCATTAGTTCAGGCAGAACCTGATGGAAGCCAAACTAAGGCAAAGGGAGAGACGATAAAAATGAAAGGTAAAGGTCACAAAGTGCAACTACTGCCCAGTAAGCTCTGAGGATCAGAGAGCCAGAAAGATGCTGCCAGGCTGAGGTTGGAGAAAGGTTCCTGTAGACGTCGAGAGCTCCATCATGGCCTTGCTGAAAGACTATCTCCTGGTTCATTCTAATGAACACTTGCCACAACTTGTCCTCCACAAACTCGTAAATCATCCAAGTACTGCTCTTTCCTTCTAACTAAACTTACTGAAAAATCTCCCAAATTTAATTTCTCCTTAAAACCAGGGGAAAGGAGAAGACAGAGGTATCATGCTACAGGGAGGGGAGGCTAAACTCATTAAGTTGGTTTTGACTCTAGGGAAAAAATTTACTATGCTTTGCTTCCTTACTCACGGGAAAGACTACTCCTTAATTTATCTCCTGGGAAAGAGATGCCGCAGACATATGTACTAATTCACTATTATCTTATGGTCAGGAATTTTCATTCCTGTCTAACTGAAATATGGACTCATGCAATTGAAATCATTTTAGTAAAAAAATCAGCCCTTCTTGAAAAATGAAATAGTAAACAGTTGTCTTACATACTTTTACAGGATAATGCAATTTCAGGGACCTGAAAATATTTATTGAATCACCTCTAATCTTACTATTTTTTTAACTCTGTGCTTACTACTCCAAAACTAATTAACCTTTCTTCAGAGGTCCTATTCTATAATCTCCTTCTATTTTTTTAATAGCCTCTCTTCACTGGCCATGCAGAAAAAGCCAAATGGTCAGTAGATGTGGGTATGTGTTTGAAAACTGGAGGAGTTACCTGTCCTTGAGATTATGGGTTTAGAAACGTTAGAGTGGACTTCCACTTAAGTATAACCTATTGACATGAGAGATTACAACTTCTACCGTGTATCCACTTAAGTGTTCCTCTCCAAAATCCACCTCGTCAAACTTGGTGATAAGGCCCAGCTGGGCTTCAGCCTTAAATTTAGAAGCTACAGAGACCCCAGAGTCAACCCCATTAAAGCTATCTTTTGTTGCTTGCTTTAGTCAAGAGGCAAGGAGATAACAGGTGATGGAAGAAGAGATCCAACCTCTTTCAGAAAGATCTGCCTGATGGAGAAACAGAGAAGTTGGCCTTTGAACTCGATTTAATTGCAGAAAATGAAGGCTTAGTTCTTTAGAGTTATTCTGTCCAGTAAGGAACTGTTCATTGTAAGAACACAAAAATATAACAGATGGTTAATGAGAAACTTTATTCAGTTCAGGTCTGTGTTTATTTTTATGAAACTCTTTGTAAACAAAACTAAGGTATGCAGTCATTTTATATTTGTCTTAAAAGCAGTTCTGTTATCACTCAAGCATAAATGCAGTGATGCTTTGCTGTTTTACAAGAGACATTTGTTTCTTTCTGATCTAGCTCAAAAGTTACACTTACCCAGTTTTTTGGCAAGCTTGGCTTCTTTCTTGGCATCCACCATCACAAAACCTATATCTTTATGCTCAAGGACCTGTGCCACAAGCTGAAGAGAAAACAGACGGGAAGTTGAGTGGGTTAAAGGGGGGAAATTGTAGAAAATATCACAGGACAATATTTTGAGGGTTCTCCCCCTTCCTGCTACTTTCACTAATTCAAATAGCAGCTAAAGAACACTGCGTACGCTAATACCTCAGTTGAAGGATGACTCAGCAGAATGAGGATGACCAAGGAGAGAAAATATGAAACCCGACCTAGGATAAAAGAGGTGGACGAATTGTCTATTCAATGTCATATCCTCTGCTGGCCCTGCCATAGAGAACATATTAATTGAAAGAGAGAAGAATCAGAAAGGAAGTAAAGGTAGCTGAGAAAGGGCTCTCAGAATCCTGCCCTTGATTCCAGAGCAGCCAGGGACAAGGTGGGGACACAGGAGGAGCAAAGACAAATTGAAGGTTGTTAATCTACAGGAGGTCCATGCCTCTGTATTCTGGCATCGTCTTCTGGTCTCCCCATCACATGCTTGTGGCATGTTGTTAGGTGCCACTAGTGTCCCGTGCAGCAGGAGGCATTACCTGATCCCGCACCATGCTCACAAACGCTGTTGTGCTGAAGCTTGCACATTTAGTGTACCTCACAAAACCCCTGAGAAGACCTCTCAAGGTTTCCTAAAGCCCATTGAGAGTGGTGTCTCTCATGTTACTCTTTCATAGCTACTTATTTCAGTCCCAACTCCTTATTAACCTCTGATAACTGTTTACCTATTCTCCAATTTCATATCTTTTTTTTCCTTCAATAATGCTATTGAAATGGAATCATGTTGTTATTGTTGTTGTTGTTGTTATGTGCCATCGAGACACTTGCAACTCACAGAGACCCTGTGTACAACAGCCCCGAAACCTGCTTTATCCTGTGCCAACCATATTGTCTCTAACACACTTAACCCCATTACCTCAGTCACTGTACCTCTTTCTCTGTCCCTCTACCCTTCCAAGAGTGATGTTCCTCTCCAAGGACCAGTCCTTCCTTGCAATATGCCCAGAGTATGTCAGATAAGGCCTCAGAATCATACTGTCTGTAAATCTTTGGAGCTGACTTTTTAAAATCAGCATAATTCTTTCTCTGGAGAGTCATCCAGCTTGTTGTATACATCAATAGTTCAGTGCAAGATTGGAAGATCCTTGACAAGATGAATTGATTCAGTGACTGGGGTAGTGGGGGTAGGTGTGTCAGAGACAGTAACATTGACTCAGGATAGAGCAGGGTTCAGAGCTGATGTAGATAGGGTTACTACGAGTCTCAAGTGACCTGATGGCACATAATAATAACATTTCTGATATGGGAGTACTGCAGACTGATTAATCTTCCTCTGTTGCATGTCATCTGGGCAATCTAGAGGTGTAAATGGGTAGAGAGTTGTCCTTTTAACCCAAAGTTGATGCTCTCATGGAGGTTCAAATCCTCTGCTCTGAGAGAGTAAGATGAGTGTCTCCTTTTTAGTTTACTGTCTACAAAAGCTCAATATAGAGACATCATAAAAGACAAATTAAGACCAAGCTTAGAAGCCTTCGCCTATGGTATAGAGGCTGTCAAATACAGCCAGAAATATACAACCAAGAAAGGATAAAATTGATGAATGAGACCCTTAAAAGATTAAATTCCTGTGTGCATAAAAACTTTTTTCAATAGTGTGAAAAGAAAACCTACTAACTGGGAAAAAAGCATTTGCCAATACCATCTCAGACAAGGATCTCATAACAAAAGTTTACAAAATCCTACAGGACCTCCACAAGAAAAAGACTGATAACCCAGTTACAAAATGGACAAGAGACATGAAAAGACTTTTCACAGAGGAAGAATGCATTTGGATGGCCAACAGACACATGAAGAAATGCTCAAAAAAATGCACTGAAAATAAGAGAGATACAAATCAAAGATACAATGAGATACAATCTCACTCCTATAGCAGTGGCAAAGGTTAATAGAACAGCAAGTAATAAATGTTGGAGTTATATGGAGAAATAAGAACTGTCATACACTGTAGATGGGACTACAGAATAATACAACCATTCTGGAAGGAAGTTTGGTGTTTCCTCAAAAAGCTGAACATAGAAATTCCATGTGATCCAGCTATTCTACTCCTAAGAAATTAGAACTAAGATACAAATGGAGATTTGTACACCAATGTTCATACCATAGGGTCACATAATTTGGTGGGTGGAGGGAGGGGGGGTAAAGAAAATGGGAAAGATCCAGCAGGGATCAGGAAAGACAGGGTAATAATGGGCATAATTTAATGGTGATTGATTTTATAACACATAGTAAATAAGAATGATTGTATGAAACACAACGTGAATGAAGGGTAGTATGAAATACAAAGTATATGAATTCTGTATGCAAGCCAATGTAAAATTTTTTTAGAAAGTAAAAAAGATTTATACAAATTAAAAACGTACCAGCTGTGAGTCTGTCAAACAGTTAAAAAGACCTTGACTTTAACTTAATTTAGGATAATGTTGCTATAATATTCACACGGAACTTCTTGTGTGCATGTTTGTCTTACCCTCTCTGAGATAAACTCTCAGGGAAAGCAATTTCTGGTTATATAGTAGCTTCATGTCTGGAGTTTAAGGAAAGTGACAGACATTTCACATCCACCCCAGCAATGTATGAGTGACCTGGCTTCTCTGCATTCGTGCCAGTATGTGGTGTTGTCACTATTTTTATTTTAGCCATTATGACAGGGGTGTAGTGATATTTTGATGTGGTGCAGATTTTCATTTTCTCAATGGCTAATTATGTTGCATATTTTGCAATATGGTTATTTGCCATGGATTTTGATGTAAAGACTACGCACCCTTTGCCTACCTGTAGATAACAAATTTTGTTATCTTTTTTAACCCTATAGATTTTATATTTTACATTAAAGCCCATGGTCCATTTTGAAGAAAATTTTATTTAATAAGTGAGTGGCATCCACTTCCTAAACAACATGCCTCTGGAAACTATGAACTTTGAGAAAATGACGGTAGTTATAGAGAGGCTTCACGTCTTTTGTTCATAGGGTCACTGTGAGTTGTGCTCGACTGGATGGCAATCAACAACAATAACATATGAAAATCAGATTGATGTTTAATTTTTTGGTCAGTGGATATCCTATTACTCAGTACCATTTATTGAAAAGTCCTCCAATGAATTATTTTTGTACTTTTGTAGAATATCAGCTGAAATTTGCATCAAGTATATTATTTAGGTGGCATCGATTCTGTTCCACTCATCTATATGTCTGTCCCTTTACCAATACCTCATAGTCTTGATTATAATAGCCAGATAATAAGTCTTGTAATTGAGTACACTGATTCCTTCCACTTTATTCTTCCAAAGTTATTTTAGCTATTTTAGTTTCTTTACCTTTCTGTATGAATTCAAGAATAAACTTGTCTAGGATTATAAAATTTCTTGCTGAACATTGAAAATAATTGCATTAAAGCTTTTCTTTATTTTTTTAGAGAAGAACCATAATCTATTTTGTGTGATGTATCCCATTTCATGACTATAATCTTCCTCTTCATTTATCTGGGTGCTACTTGATCCTGCCTCCCCCCCACATGGACCACCAAAAGAACAAATAGATGTGTCATGGAGAAAGTGCAGCCAGAATGCTCCTTGGAGACAAAGATGGTGAAGCTTCATCTCACATATTTTGGACATGTTGTTTGAAGAAGCTATTGACTGTGTGGATCACAACAAATTGTGTCTAACCTTGAGAAAAATGGGGATCCTAGAGCACTTAATTGTGCTCATGTGAATCTTATACTTGGATCAAGAAGCATAGTTAGAACAGGGGAACACCACATGGTTCAGGATCAGGAAAGGAGTGAGTCAGGAATGCATCCTGTCTCCATACTATTTCAATCAATATGCAGAACAGCTCATTTGGAAGGCTGGACTTTATAAGGAGGAATGTGGCAACAAGATTGGAGGAAGATTCATCAACAATCTGTGTTATGCAAATGACATAACCTTGCTTGCTGAAACTGAAGAGGACATGAGGGGTTTGCTGTAGAAGGTCAAAGACCTTCTATATGGTCTTCTATATGGACATCAAGAGAACAAAGATTCTCACTGCTGGGCCAACTGGCAGCTTCATGATGGATAGAGGAGAGATTGAGATTGTTGATAACTTCAGATTTCTTGATTCTACAATCAACATTCTTGACACCAGCAGTCAGGAAATCAAGAAATGAATTGCTTTGTGAAATTTTTCTATCAGGGATCTCTCTAGAGTACCAAAGAGCAATGATGTCAGTCTGGAGGTTAAGGTGTGCCTGATCCAAGCCATGGTCTGAACAATTACTTGTTATGCATTCAAGAGCTTGACAATAACTAAGGATGATAGAAGAATCATCAATTTCTTTGACTTATGGTGCTGGAGAGGAGTCTTGAACATATTGTGGACTGCTGGGAGAACAAATTAGTCTGTCTTGGAGAGAGAGAAACTAAGCTGTTCCCTGAAGGCAAGGATTTTGAAGCTCTGCCTCATATTGTTTGGACCCAGTCCTTGGAGAGGGACATCATACTGTGAGGGACAGCACAGAAGAGAAAGACCCAGGATGAGATGGATCGACTCAGTGACTGGAGAAATGGGATTAGGTCTGTCGGAGATGATGACATTGGCTCAGGATAGGGCAGGATTCAGAGCTAAATACATAGGGTCACTATGAGTTGCAGGTGACTCAATGGCACCTAACAATAACAACAGCAATCCCTTGAGAAGGAATCTCATGCTTGGAAAGGTGGAGGGTCAGGGAAGGAGAGGAGGTCTCATAACAAGATGGATTGTTATAGTGTCCACAGCAATAGATTCAAATATGTCAGGGATGTTAAGGATGGCACAGTATAGGACAGAGTTCAGATCTGCTGTTCAAAGTTTGTTATAATGGCACTTAAAGGCGACAACTATTTGGTTTCTTTAATCAGAATTGTTTTGGTTTTCAGCATCATACATCTTTTGTTAGAGTTAAGCCTAATACTTAATTTTTTGAG